CTCTTTCAGAGATGAGGATGTTCTCATTCTTGATGGAGAGGAACGTTGGTTTGAGAGAGGAGAAAAGAAGCCATTTTTGTCTCTTGGAGGAGAGACGAAACGTTTCATTATAGAAGAACCCGTCCAGAAGACCTATACAATTTTTTTCTTTTCACTTTAAAAGAGTTTTAATAAAATCCATCTAAGGGATTAAGAGCTATTTTGCTAACAGACAAAAACAGTTTACACCAATTTTAACTGGCAAAGTAAATATGTTGCACAATGAGTAGTCCTTGGAGCAGACATGTCAAGAAACAACATAGAAATACTTTACCTTCATTACTTTAACTTTTATACTACCAGTATTTTTACACTTTGAYTTGAGTAAAGAGCTTAAGTTGATACTTTAACTTCTACATAAGGCTTTTTTAAACTCCAGTATGTTTACTTCAACCTGAGTAATGAATAAATACTTTTCACACGTCTGCCTTGGAGTATGTGCACTGAAAGACTCTCAGCTGCAACCACACCAAATTTTAGATCAGTTTATCTAAAATTTGCTGAGTCATGGTCACCTTGTTTCTGCTTAGGTCTGACGGCAGTCATTTTGAATGAGGTTAATAGTAGATGTACAATTGATGATTAATTTCTCAAAGTTTTAATAAAAACTGATGAGTGGTTTTGGGGATATTTCGCAAACAGACAWCTAAATGAACACACACCTGCGCAAATACATAATCACCCATTTGCCTTCAGTGGCAGGTGATGCAAAATGAACTAAGCATGGATGGGTATTTTTTATGCCAATGCAGCCTTTATTGTTAGAGATTAGAACAACAATGGAGTTAACAATTATGCTGGCAAAGCAAGTTTTCCACCCTAATGGGTATCGACAGGAAACTGTAGCAGTCTGCAGTGTTTTCCTCTCAGTCCTGTCCTATGAGCCAAATCCTATTTAACTGTTCCTGACTCTGCCTATTGCTGTGTAAACAGGTCATTTCTGATTTGTGTTAAATAATGATAAGAGAAAAGAAGTTCGGATCTGAACTCGAAAATGATATTTGATTAGTTCTAAATAGAAAAATCAGGGTGGAAAAAGGCTGTCTGACAACCTGAATCACTACATTAAGCTTCCATTCTTTATGAATGCCCTTGTTTACAGCATCACTGTACATAACTGGAAAGCTCGTCAGTGCTGAAGCCAGTGGGTTTAAAACAGAGATGGGTGGAAAAATCAATGGTGCACATTACTTAAAAACTGCCTCGCTTGCTTTGCTTTTTAGACTTTCTGGACATAAACTAAGGATGTAAACACTTCGTAGTAAAACCACAGAAATGTCTGTGGGAGCCCGTTGTTCTGAGAATTGTCAATAGGAATCTGTGCTGACTAAAGGAAAGATGAAACCCAGGCACCACAGGTACTGCAGATGAAGCTGGTACACATTGATGCCTGGTATTAAGACTTTAATCCTTGTGATGCTAAAAGGATATGGTGCTTAGTGGACTGTGGGCAGTGGGACAGTATGCTTTATGAAATAGTTTTTGCAAAACATAAATCTGATAGTAGAGTGGTTTGAAATGGGCTGTGAATGAAGAGTGGCRTGTGCTACAGGGTTTCTCTGAGCTCATCGAAACTTCCCTCTTTTCAAAAGATTTGGCGACTCCATTCCCCAGGTTTTTTTTATTTATATATTTTTTTTGTTCCCCAGGATGACTTAGTATGGTGGTGCTTTTAATAAATCTGTAAGTGCTGCATACAAAGACACCTTTCCTCTTTTGCCTTCATCCTGATCTAAAACAGCTTGATTAGAATACTTCCCCTGGCATCACAACAGTCCAGCTGAATTATTTATCCAAGTGTTTTGTTGATTTTGAAACCCTGGCCTCATTGTTAAAGAAGCAATTTGTTAATAGTGTCCGTGCATCAAAACAGCAACTGATTTTAAAAGTTAGGAGCTGAAACAAACTGATTTCGGTAATAAAATGAGAACCTTTAAAGCATCCATTCAATCTGGAATCAGCAAGAAAATCCTAATAATGACTTCCTGTTGTCTCAGACATGCTCTCTAGATGTTACAGCACAATGACACTAATGTATTTAAAACATGGAGTTTGATCGAATATTCGAGGAACATAAACATGCTCAAGGGGAAAATACAAGTGATTTTAAAGCTCGAATCACAAGTTCAAAAGAGAAAAAAAAGATCAAAAATCAATAATGTGGCATTTCACACTGGAACAAAGCACTCAAATCCCTTTTAATAACAACAACGAAAGGGATTAGGGAACAAGGAAAGTTATAATCATGTTTTGCTGAAATGTTTGAAAATCAGTAAAGCTTTGCAAGATGATGCAAATCTGGTTTGTAGTTTAGTTTTTTTCCGCATTTAAATAGATTGTACCCAATACAGTTTTGACTGCAAGTGCAATTTCTGTTTCAACAAGTTTGTTCTGTCCACACCCCCCCCACCCCTCCCCGATTTCAACATGTTACATTTCTTAGAGTTAAGTTTGCTTGCATCATAGGAGAGAAAACAAATTTAACAAGACCCAATTTTTGGTATGTTTATTATGATTCTATCCAAAGGGAAGCTCCACTAATTCCATAATTTATTTATTTTTTTTCTCTTACAAGACCATGTTAAGAAGTTGTGAGGCTCAAGAGGAAATTGTAAGTTTCTCAAAACCAGGCAGAAATAGAAAGCAGAGGCATGAGAGAGCGCAAAGCCATTATGAAAATAAGGGCTGTCATTCATTAGCACTCTGAGTGGGGGCCTTGTTGATAAAAGGCAATGGGGTAGTCAGCCGGATGAAGGAGTGTGAAATGACAAGGGAACATAAAGAGACAGCAGCCTCGGCACTCCTCCAAACACCAGGTCAACAYGTGTGTCAGCATCTATTCGGCTGCCATCGTTAAAGACACAAACGGCACCAACTTCAAGTCATTTTGCAACTTCCTTTCATCTCATCACATCTTGGATATAAGACAATGAATTACACCTGCATTGTTCAAAGCTGTGATTCAGCTTTCAGTTACCATTTGTTAAAAAAAACTAAAATTCTTTTTTTTTTCTTTCATATTTTTAGGAATTGCAGGCACCCCGGTGGTCTTCAATGTGAATGGAGATGCTCCTGGTCGCTATGAAATCTACCAATACCAGATCAGAAATAACACCACAGAATACAARATCATCGGGCACTGGACGGATCAGCTCCAATTAGATGTAAGATCATTTTAAAGTGTTGGCTGCACCTCTCTGTATGATGTACAGCAGAGGTGTCAAACTCATTTTCACCAAGGGCCACATGAGTGTTATGGTGGTCCTCGAAGGGCCATGAACTTTGATGTTTCATGTTTAACTTTGACTAAACAGTGTTTTAACACATTCTCTTTTAAACACTAATAAGAAGTAACTGTACAACTGACTAAATATTATTAAAAGAAAAACTAATAAAGCTTTACTCACTGATGAGTCTCTAGTGAGTAGCAAGTATGCATTATAGCTGATTCAGTTTATGGTTGATGTTGATTTTAAATCAGCTTATTTTCAGACATTATTACTGTGCTGTCCAACTAAAATGACCAGTTACTTAAAGCCAACAGCTCAGGGGCAGGACCATTGTTATTATCTTTCACCTTTTAAATTTACTTTGTTACATTTGCAAGTAACAATGTTTTATGTTAAGTAATATATATAGCGGGCCACATGGGAGTCACCCGTGGGCTACATTTGGCCCGCGGGCCTTGTTTTTGACAGGTGATGTACAGAACTTTTGTACTAATGGTTGTGAGCATTTGTACAGAACTCTCCAAWGACACTGGATAAAAGTTTTTATACTTGATTATATGTTGCAGCTTTAAAACATAAGTGACCACTGGAGTTGTCTCTGTCCAAAAATCTTTCTTCTCTTTTTTTTTCTTTTTTTTTTTTTGAAGCTCAACACTCAAAACACACTTTTCTCTTACACAGTGCTTTTGCTATAGGAGTCGGAGGTCTGTTACAAGAACATAGTAAACAAAAATCTGTTTCCTGACACACACTTAGGGAGTTCAATGAGATCTCATAAATACTATGAAAGATGAATCGTTAGATTGAACATACACTAAATAATGATGATGATAATAAAAATAAGTGTGAAAATTTAAAAGCCAAAACAACATATTCATATAAAATCTGACTCCAACAATGCCTGTGTCTCTCAAAAAGAGACAAGGCTGCTCAAAATTAACTTGTGGTCACAAGATAAGTGACGTATGGCCAAGAGATTTTTCATTTTAACCATTGTCACTGGATGAGCACTGTGTTCTCACAATGTTTTAGAAAAAAAATGGTCACACCCTTTGATATGATGTCATACCCCTAAAACATGGAAGTACCCTTAAAACTGTTCTACATCTCTGAAATGAGAAACATTGTGTTTACACTGCTAGAGTGAGGCATAATGTTAAATATTGACTTGCTGACTCTCTTAAAATATTACTATCGATCACAAAGTATAAAATATTAAACTGTATCTAAAATTCAGTTTATCAAACACAAAAAATCCAACAGTATGTACAAGTAAAGAAWACAATTGCTCACAAAGTTTTTTTCTTCACTTTGAGATAAAATTAAAGTTCTTAACGACTTTTAAGTCACAGGTAAAATGAATCTCCACTAAAGCACCTTCTACTTGCAGCCACTTTGTACTGTATGACACTTAAAGCATCTCTTGTGGCACATATAATAGCTTAATGTATGTACTTTCTCATGACTTATTCCCTGCAATATAAACTTCATCTTCATTGCTTCTTTGTTAAGGAGCAACAATCGAACATTAACAGGCAGATAGTTTAGGCAATAAAGACAAAATTAGAAAAAGAAATAATTTGTTTTGTGGCTAAAAGAGTTTCTGCCTTGTAGATAATGCAAGTTAGTGTTTGTACAGCAACATCTGTAAAACCTGACTAATATGTTTGATCCCAAAAACAAGAGCAGATTTTAAACCAATGAGCACACTAGTCAACATACATAGAAACATACTTGTATTTTTACGCTACTATTTATAGATTTTTTTATTCTCCTAATTTGACATTTACATCCATCATTTATTCACACAAACATAAATTAGTGCACAATTTAAAGTGCAAAACATCTATAATTTCCCATCATCACCCAAATTTGCTCACAGTAATGGTGGTATCAAAGTCATTGATTTCAGATTATTAAAAAAAACACACTTATGTCATATTATGTCAGTCAAATTATACAAGACATATTTTGGTAAAATGTTATACATGAAGTCATCAGGTCTGTTCTGCACACAATATTTTGAGGTATTTAAATTGATAATAATACAATTTCTAATCTAAAAATTGCAACACAACAACAGACAAGCAGCATTGCAATGCATTATTCTGTGCTGTGCCATGGGTTTAAGGTTGTTTTAGAAATCTAAGTAGCAGACAGAAACCAYGAGGAATCAAATGTCAGATGTTTAATSAAAACAAAGAGCTGATGTGTCGGGAAAAAAAACTCAAGAAAGAGTCAAACCAACATGAAGCCCAGAAAAGATTGGTAAATAAACATAGATACTCTCATGTTGAACTCTATAGTTTTAAAACATAACTTGACATAAAGAAATGTAAGATTTTTGCATCAACATATCATCCACTTACTTTCTTATTGACTGGATTGTTTGATTTATGTCCTCATGTATCAGAGTATGCTATTGAATATCCAACTAGAAAAGTAATTACCTTAGTTTATTGGGTCAATATACTTGTAATGACTAACCCTAAAACGCTACTAAATCTTTTAAAAAACTATATTTTTTATTAGGATATTTAATTGGGATTAGAACACAAATCAAATAGTAGGAGATGCCCTGGAACACTGGGTACAGAATTAAAGAGTGTTGAAGTGATACATCATCTTCATAAATTAGTGGCAGCTCTGGTGCTATGAATGTCCCCACAAAAGCTGTTCATGCAGCATATTGAGTTCTAGGCAGCTTGTTTTGTAGACTTTCACTATACCTACATATTTCAGATGCAGGTAATTACACTTAAAGCATAAGAAACACAGGAGAAGACAACAGTGAAACACATTTTTTGTCCGTTACTAAAGTAATATTTTTGGTTGTAAATGCTTCCCTTCAGATCAGTGAGATGCAGTGGCCTGGTGGAACACAGGAAGTCCCCTCCTCCATCTGCAGCCAACCCTGTCACCCCGGCCAGCGTAAGAAAATAGTGAAGGGGATTCCATGTTGCTGGCACTGTGAGAACTGTGATGGTTACCAGTATCAGGCAGATACTTACACCTGCAAGATGTGCCGCTATGATTTGCGTCCCAATGAAAATCACACTGAATGTGTTCCCATTCCCATTGTGAAGCTGGAGTGGAGCTCTCCATGGGCCGTCATCCCAGTCCTAATTGCCGTCTTGGGGATCATAGCAACTTTGCTGGTGGTCGCCACCTTTGTACGCTACAATGACACACCCATTGTCAAGGCATCGGGTCGAGAACTGAGCTATGTGCTGCTGACAGGTATCTTTCTGTGCTACGCTACAACATTYCTCATGATCTCTACCCCTGATGTGTTCGTGTGCTCCCTTCGAAGAATTTTCCTTGGCCTGGGGATGAGTATAAGCTACGCAGCACTTCTCACCAAGACAAATCGAATCTACAGGATTTTCGAGCAGGGCAAAATGTCAGTCAGCGCCCCTCGATTTATCTCGCCGGCCTCCCAGTTGGTCATCACATTCAGTTTGATTTCAGTGCAGCTGCTTGGAGTGTGCATCTGGTTCGGTGTGGATCCGTCACAAGCCATCATCGACTACGAGGACCAGCGTACAGCCAATCCTGACATGGCCCGAGGTGTTCTGAAATGTGACATCTCCGACCTGTCTCTGATCTGTCTGCTGGGTTACAGCATGCTCCTGATGGTCACCTGCACAGTCTACGCTATAAAAACCAGAGGAGTTCCAGAAACGTTCAATGAGGCAAAGCCCATTGGCTTCACCATGTACACCACTTGCATTGTATGGCTAGCCTTCATCCCCATATTCTTTGGGACTTCACAATCAGCAGAAAAGGTAAACTTTTTCTTTTCTTCTACAGTTGTTAGTAGTTTTTTAATTCAAAGGAAGTAAAGTTTGATAAATGCACTTTAGCATAATGGGTATAAAGTTATTTTATTAAGTATCGCCCACGACTAAAAAGCAAAAGACAGCCTATATTGGCAATATTGTTTGGGTGTGTGCAAATGCCTGTCTCATTAACTTGTGGACATTTTCTCAATGAAACTTTCAATAAGTAATAATTGGGTTACTGCAGTCTACAMGTGATTAAGTTTTGGTCAATGCAAATAAAAATGAACACAAACTGATTATGCAAGATCTTTGCATAAGCAGTTTGTGTGTGTGTGTCGCATGAACCACTGTGCAGATTTGAATGAAAATAAAGGAAAGTACTTAGTGGATGTACATAAAAGATAATTTTTGAAGCAAACCCAATTAAAAATGGCCATCACAGCTAGYTGACCAATTAGCCAACACAAAAATGGCTAAGGCCAATTTTACAGATAAGAAGCTAAACAGTGATCTGGCAGGAGTCAGTACAGTCACTTAATCTGAGTGATAACAAATTGCATAAGATCTTGTTTTACTGAGTGAGAAGTGCATATTGTTTCTTGAGCCTGGTTCTGCTGGAGGCTTCTTGCTGTTAAAAGGGAGGTTTTCCTTTCCAATGTCGCCAATGTTCTGCTCAGAATAGGAGACTGTGATGAAGTGATTCAATGCAATCTGTTGGCTTCCTTAGATTGACTGTTTTTTGTACAGTGCCCTGAGACAACATTTGTTGTGACTTGATGCTATATAAATAAATTGAATTGAATAGATAGTTTGTTTTTAAGATTTGTCCAAAATAGCTTTCATTCCATCATTTCAAGCATTTAATGATCTTAGCGGCATAAGGCAGTGGGTGATATGTTGTGTCATCTTTCAAAAAATACTAAGCCTGTAATTTGAAAAAATAAAACAACAATCTGTCTCTTAAATGRACATAAAATGGCCACTTAAATTATGTTTGTTCAATAGTATCAGCCACTTGTGTTGGTGGATGCCACCATGATTTGTCATAAGCTGATGGGCTTTTTGTGCTCACCAAGCGGATTACAAGGCTGTTAGACTCGGCTTGTGAGGATAAATCATTCATCTCAAGTTTGACTAAATATGATTTCTTTACTTGCGTCCCAATGCTTGTATTGGATTTAACTGCACTGAGTGGGAATACTGAGCCAACAATCAGTGCATATTCTTGCAGGCAGACATAGATAATGCATGCTTGTGAAGTAGAGTAAAATTACTGTAGCTGCTGATGTTGTTGTCAGTTGAAAGTGAATCAAAAAATTACCTCCTACAAGTGCTAAATTTGAGGTCGTGCAACATAGACTTGCGTTTAAAAGCAGAGAGAAGAAAAGTCAAATTACGATCGCCGTAGAAGCATCAGGATGAGCTCGGCACAAAAACAAACTTAATAGCAGCCATTAGACTGTCAGTACCACAAATGAAAGTGTGGCAAAAAATGAAAGCTTTGGATGAGTTTGCTTTGACATATTRTGCAAGTGAAGTGATAGAAACATGCAGGAACCGATGTGAGCATTTGTATTTTTCCACACATTAAGTGGCATTTATGAAAAAACGGGCAAAGCAGAATTTATTCTAACAAATGCACCAAAGATGCATAGCTTTTCTTCTTTTCACCTTTTTTTTTTGTTAATACACTTGTCATTTTATATAAATATTTGCCAGTTTAAACAAATCATATATAGGTTTTTTGATGGGATTSTGTTGTGTATTTTTAAGTATTTTCTTCTCTTATCTGCAGTAGACAGCATTCAGCATAATCATTGTTTGAAGAAYGAAGAGTTCTCAGCTGTCTATATGAATCTTATAGCAGGAGAAAAGAAGAGCAAACGTTCTGCTTCTAAAGTCRTTCAGAATCAAAATGTCCCTATTACTTTAAGTGACTGTCATGTTAAATACTCATTTTAATTTTCACTTTAGCATTATACAGCTGATTTTCATCTGTCTTCATATGGTGGCTGCTTCCAAACACTGATAAAAAAGTGTCTGCCAGTAGTTCCAYCTTTCAAATCAACATTATTTGTTCTGTATAATTTGTTTCATGGAAATATATTTTTCTATCCTCAGAAAAACACACCATCTCCACTTTTCTTTCACTTGTAATAGTTTTGGGAATAGACAGGCAGGACTGCAAGTCACAATGGACTATTTAGTGGGAGAATACTTTAAATAGCAAGAAAGCATGTGGCATGCAATGATACAACACAAACATTGTTTAGCTAAGGAAATAACAATAACGTGACTAATTAGAACCATGTTTAATTAAKGTGCATTGTCCTTTTTAAATAAATAAATGAAATTAAAATTTTAAAAACATTAAAGGAATTGTATTCTCAAACAGGCAGCACAGTTGTATGAGCTGTCACCTCAGAACAAGAGGGTTACTAGTTCCCCAACCACCTGTGGCCTTTCTGTGTGAAGTTTTCATATTCTTCCTGTGCACACATGGGTTTTCTCCAGTTACAGTGGTTTCCTCCCACAGACCAACAACATTCATGTTAGGCTAATTAGTAACTCTAAATGGTCCCTCGGTGTGAGTGAGTATGAATGGTTTGTCTCTATGTGGCCCTGTCCAGGGTGTACTGCTCCCCTCACATAATGACAGCAGCAAATTGACACCAGCTCCCCTGCAGCCCTGCGTAGAAAATTTAGTGAAATGGATGGATGGATGGATGGATGGATGGATGGATGGATGGATGGATGGATGGATGGATGGATGATGGATGGATGGATAGATGGATGGATGGTTGGATGGACATTCCCAAAAGGTGATAACCTCTGGAGTGTAAAACATTTGTTTGGTGTGCAATTTTAATGTCTATTTGGAATTATTAAGACCTCAAAAAACATTAGAAATATCAATGATTTTAAACTTTTAGTTGTTAAAGATAAAAAAAATGGTGTAGAAAGATTTCAAATGATGGTATCAGGAGAATACCATTTTTTAGACTGATATAGACATCATTACTAAAATTATTTCTAAACCACTGAAGCTGTATTGTTTGATGACAAGACACTTTTTTTCTAGTCTGAATAAAAAAACTGCAGGTCACAAATAGTCTGATGAAGCAGTKATTACCCAATGTTACATTCATTGTCTTGATGGAATATAATTCCAAACACACTGTAATTATGAAACATTTGCCTTTTTGGGGGGTGGCTGTGGCAGAGTGGTTACGAGGAGTCATCCTGTAACCGGTCGTTTCAACCCCGTTCCATCCATCTCAGTCGTGGGGTCTTCTTGCAAGACACTTCACCCGCCTTGCTTACTGGTGGTGGTCAGATGGCCCAGTAGTGCTGTCAGTGTGCCGCAGGGCAGCTGTGGCTACATTGTAGCACACCTCCATTAGTGTGTGAAWGTGAGTGTAAAGTGTCTTGGGGTCCATAGGGACTTGATTAAGCGCTACTGTAAACAGTATAAGTTCAGGCCATTTGTTTTTAATAGAACAAATAATGAAATGTCTTCAGTTTTAATATTTTTCTCTTTTGAACTGCCACAGCAATAGCTCAGTGTTTATAATACCCAAAATACAATCTAGCATCCATATATGTTTCTTCARTAATTTGCAGGTCAGTCCACGATATTTAGGTTAAAGCATTCACAGACAGCATGTTATGAAAATAAGCTTCTGTTCATGATAATCCACTCAAGATATTCCTCGTCCAGAAAGGACAAGTTTCTCTGAGTAAGGAAAGTCAAAAGAAGCCACTGTGAATTCAAGAAAGTTCAGAGTGATTTTTGACCCTACATCTTTTCCTTCAATATGCCAAACGAGCACTACGGCCATCATTTCAGCATTTCAGAAAAAAAAATTTATGTCAGCTGGGCCGATGAAGCTGGACAAGGGTCTGGGCTCCCCTCAGAGACCGACTCCACTCTGTACTCCAGAGGGCTAGCAATATTGCTCCAAACTCACCCCAGGGCAAGTGTAATCTTCTCAGGAGATTACAACACTCGCCCCCTATCACTATAAGAGGCTCATGTGCTGTTTGAAGTATGATCGAATACAGGGCTTTATCRCTTCCATCTTCCACTGACAGAGTTTTTTCTAAGCTGACATGGGCTTAGGGGGCCCCTCTTTTAATGGCTTCTCAACAGATTTAGCTTTTTTACACCAAAAAACTAGATGAGTGGTTTCCAAAGTTGAGTTTGGARCCCCACGGTGGGTTGTAACACACCAAGAGGGTGTCTTTAGATTTTAATCATTTTTAAAAACTGCATATTTTCTATTCYTGCTATAAATATTAAAAAAGATAAAACAGTAGTCATTAGGGATGTAACAGTACATGTATTTGTACCAAATGGTACATCCATTTGTACTGAACATCACGCAACTGATGTATGGGAAGAGTGCAGGGAACCAGAAAAAGATTACATCCGTCACAGGTGATCACTCCTATCTGAAAGCAGACATTTCTTTTTTAGTGCTTTTTTTCAAACTGCCACGACAAAACAGAMGTAGAGGAACACACTAACAAAGCACTTCATTCAAATTAAAGCATTACTGCTTGTTTCATATCAGATATATGTAAAAGTCATGTGGTTTGGATGATCAGCAGCAATACTGAGAGATGAAGTCCATGTATGGAAAGCCACAWAAACCATAACTTGCACCCTTTGATGCCTAATTTTGTACGAACGCACTTCAAGTGTTTCATATTTTATTTYATATTTTCACACTTGAAGATGCTATTTAGTTCTTTGTTGCTTTTTATTTTGCCTTAAGTCCAAGTCAAACCACAAAAAAATCTGTTTTTTTTTCTTTCGACAAATAGGGCATTCCTTTAAATTTAAAATGTATCAATTTTTTGGTTTTGCATATTTCCAGTGGACATTGTGTACAATTTAAATTATATAAACCAGAATGTATAGTGACATTTTTACTTTTTTATTTTATTTTATGTTATTATGTTACCATTTGAGGAAAAAAAATGTTTCTGCATTCATAATGTATGGGAAAAATCAGTTTCCATGTAAAACAAACACCTGGGAAATATCAGAGAAACAAAACCTTCGGTATTGACTCTCTAAAATCTAAAACATCTGTGTCAATCGGTACCCCTTTGTCAAATGATTACCTTTAGTCTCCTCTTTCTGTCCCTCAGATGTATATCCAGACTACAACCCTGACGATCTCTGTCAGCCTCAGTGCATCAGTCTCTCTGGGAATGCTCTACATGCCCAAGGTCTATGTGGTTCTGTTCCATCCAGAGCAGAAYGTGCCCAAACGCAAGCGCAGCCTCAAAGCTGTGGTCACTGCAGCCACAATGTCCAACAAGTTCAACCCCAAAGGAGGCCTGAGGCCAAATGGAGAGGCCAAGTCTGAACTCTGTGAAAGTCTGGAAACACAAGGTCTGTAGCAAAATCTTTTGTTGCAAAAAGGCAAATACAAAGAAGCAGTTTTTATGCTCCGATGTGTTATTTGCACCAATACAGATRTTAGAAAACACAAGAGTCCCTGTGATTATAATGTGGTTGTTTTAGCTAATCAATTTTTTTCACCCAAGCTGCACAGGAAATTAGAAAGGGATATGCATATGTTTAAATAAGATGGAACTTGAGCTTCTGCTTTAATGTCAGCCAAACAGAGTTTAATTATAGGGTTATTTTCAAGAAGATGTGTATCAGATGACATAGGCCTTTGATAGAGGGGGTGTCATTTTTGTCTGTAGGACTGGCCCGATCAGTGTAAATTTAATGCAACRTCTTTTACCATGCTACATTTAGAAGATAATATGATGCAGTAATGAGGTGCATTTCATGTTCCATATAATCGTTTTGGAAAGCCTTTTTTTTTCTGTGCACAAAACAACAACAAAAAGTTTCATTCTCACAAACTGTCACRTAATTTGCAAATGATAAGGTGTGACAGTGTGCCCACAATGTTCTGATTTGAAAAGGCAGGAAGAAGAGGACGTTTTAATCCCAAAGACAATACATATGCGTAGGCAGCCTCAATGTGGGGGCAAGCCTAAATCCAATCAGGCAGGCCCATATGGTGTGATGACTGAAGGGTTTGATTTTATATTCTGACAAGTTGAACYGTACACTGATGCGTATTAGAACTACTAAGCTTTGTCTTTTTTTTTGTATGTGTTTGTGTCAGGATGAAGTTGTTCCATCTTAACCAAATATAGAGCCCATTTCACTGACAGTGATTCTYATCTCCTCGTTTGAAAACCAAATCTAACAACTGCTTTTTGTGCTTATATGTGTCAGACTKTGTAGAGGGAGGGGAGCCTTGTGAGGGGCTTTAGACTCCCAGGTAACTGAATCAAACTATGACTTTGTCYTTTATATTTTCCATGACCACATGTTTTTCTCCCCTCTGTTAATTGCCTCTAATGCTCACCTCCTCCAACACCTCTGCCTGTCGATACAACGCACAAATGACGAGTGTGAGAAATGCAGCACCCTGAATGACACGAGACAGTAATCACATGCTCAAATRTCCACCCTTGACCACTGCACATTACCGTGAAGAGACAATACTGTTTTGGATGGTGCTTAAAAATGGCCATTCAGCGCTGCGAAGGCTGTTAATGTGGGAAGATGACAACACTCTGCCTGAGTGTACGAGACAAGCGATAGCCATGTGTCCCTTGTAATTTATTTTCCCGTTGACAAAAAGAGGAATTTGCGGTAATGAGACAACAACAACAATAAGAATGAACAGGAGAAGACAGATGGGTCTGCCAGCTCCAATTCTTTCTGGACSATCTATTCTTTATCTTGGCCTCGCAGCACATAAATATTCAAATAAGGTTCATTTATCAATGCTTYTCTAGGAAGAGACGCTTTCGATGAAATGGCAGTAATACCGCCTCCCATTTCCACATCCAATATGGCACTGACAAAAATACAGAAGTGTTTACAAAAATAAATAAATAAATAAATCTCTGCTCCACAACACTTTTGCCCCAGCTCTGGATTTTCAGCTGCCTTTTGATACCTATTCATCCCCTTGTGACATATTCAATCAGCCAATGCTGCCGCGGGCAGATTGGTAGTGTGATTACACCACTGAGCATGCTCACTGAGGACGGTTTTATTTCAAAATATGACATGCTCGCTGACACTTACACATAAAACGTGTGCACTTCAGCATGACACWCAAATGGGTAGAGTATGAATGATACAGTTTAAGTTTTTATGGTCAGTGTGATCTGCTCCCTTTTTTTGTTCAAATGACATCTGGTACAAAATGGATACAAAAATTAATGTAAAAATGCTTTTTAGTGATTAAAGTTAATGCCTAATCAGATTCTTTACCCTTTTGTCACCTGTTACTTAAAGTGAAAGGGCGATAATGTTTTTGCTCATGTCTGCRTGTTCAATGAGATATCTCATGAATCAAACCAGTGGACAGATTTTAAAAAGTTTCAGAAAGTGAATTATTGGTATATCTATAATCAAAAACACAAATAATGGATTGAATTTAAGGAAAAAATGTCAACTCGTTCCACTCAACTGAATTGTATAAAGGTAACACATTTACTATATACAGGTCCTTCTCAAAATTTAGCATATTGKGATAAAGTTCATTATTTTCTGTAATGTACTGATAAACATTAAGCTTTCACATATTTTAGATTCATTGCACACCAACTGAAGTAGTTCAAGCCTTTTCTTGTATTGTTATATTGATGAGTTATTATTATATTGAATATTGATGATTTTGGCAAAAATGTAAAGAAAAATCAAAAATCCTATCTCAAAAAAATTAGCATATTTCATCCGACCAATAAAAGAAAAGTGTTTTAATACAAAAAAAGTCAACCTTCAAATAATTATGTTCAGTTATGCACTCAATATCCTTTTGCAGAAATGACAGCTTCAATGTGGCGTGGCATGGAGGCAATCAGCCTGTGGCACTGCTGAGGTGTTATGG